TCCGACCCGAACAACTATAGAAGTATCTTCTTACTAGATACGATAGGAAAGCTATTTGCAGGCATAATCTGCAATAGACTTGTCCAACTAACAGATAAATATCTCCCAATAACCCAATTTGGTTTTAGAAAAAATCTGTCCACAGTCCAAGCAATAACGACCCTAAGACATATAATTCAATCCTCTATAGATACAAATAGTACTATAGTCCTCACCTTTGTGGACTTAACTAAAGCGTTTGATACGATACCCAAACAAATAATCCTAAATACTCTAAATAAACTATGCCCCTCAAAAAATATAAATATAGGGAAGCGTCAGCTGATCCATTAATATTTAAGCTTGACATGCTATCCTCAGGACTGCAGCAAGCTGACTTAAGTACAAACGTGCAGAAATCGCGCAGCCTAACCGTCACTGCGAATGGGAAATTAAAAACCGTGTGTGTTGTCCCTCACACGTATAAGATTGGCGGGGTATCCTTAGACCCTATAAATGTCATTGACAAATTCAAATACCTTGGTATATGGTTCAATCACTCTGGCATCACACAGCAGCCAATAAGGACTATGACAGGAAGTCTCCCGAGCGAGACAACTAATGCGCCGCTAACACCAGTTCAGCGATTGACGATCCTGAAACAGTACATTATACCGAAGCTCCAGTATGTATGCCAAGTTGGAGTAATTGGTAAAACCGAATTACAAAAAGTTGATGTCTTAATCCGCAAGCGTGTTCATCAGTGGTTGGGGCTACCACACGACACAGCTAATAGTTTCTTTCATGCACGAGTGCGCGCTGGGGGAATTGGAATTGAACCTCTATATCCATTGACCGTAATTAGACGGTCACAAAAACTAGGACAGTTAAACGCACGAAACTGTACATTGTTACAGGCTATCCGGCAGTCGGAGGCCTATAAACTACTCGAGGGCAAGTCTACTGGGATCACGACTCTAAACGGACAGGTAATATCAAAGTCTGATGACTTCTATGATGCGTTGAAAATGCGAATGTACGGCACCGTAGATGGCGGTGGCCTTAAAGTCTCCGATCTGAGCACATGTTCACACCTATGGGTCACGTCCCCGGAAGGGATGTTTCCTTGGACGTATCGTAAGGCCGTACAACTACGAGGCCACATCCTGAAAACGAAGGTAAGGGCATCACGGGGCGGAAGATCCTGCGGTGATCTTTGGTGTAACGGCGGGTGCAGGAAACCGGAGTCTTTGATGCATATCCTCCAGGAATGCAAACTCACCCAAAAACTGCGTATTGCTCGGCACAATCGAGTGATGCTGAAGCTGGAGGGTTCCCTGAGGCGGGCGGGCCTCTCAGTTATGCGGGAGCCGTACATCTGTAAGGGCAAGAGTTACGTGAAACCCGACCTGTTGGTAAGTGGAAAAGGTAAGATTTTTGTATTGGATGTTATAATATGTAATGATAACAGACTGTCAGCATCGTGGAATTCGAAGATACGTAAGTATAACACACACGAGTTAAATGAAAATCTCAGACAGGTGTGTAACCTTCAGAAAGCATCGGTCCACCATTTACCGATAGCTTTTACCATGTGTGGGATAATGGCCGGGCGGTCTGAGAAAGGCCTGAGTGAAATGGGATTACCCAAGACGGCGATATCGTGGTTATGCGAACAGGCAAGCATAGGATCATTGATATGCTATGATGCCTATATGAATGACTCGTTTGCCCGAACAGTCAGGCGATAATGTGATAGCAAATACCTAACCAGAGGCAGGACTGTATCCGCCCCACTGGTTTAAGATCTGGCAATCGTGGTACTCCGGATATCAAACGGAACTATGGAACTACATCTATGCCCGTTTGTGTGCAGCTGGTAACAGATGTATGCTTATGGACCATACTTGTAGTGTTCTATTCCTATATGGGTAGGCAGCCGGGTCTCTGAAACTTGAAGGATTTGACGGATGTAACTAGCAAATGCATCGAGGAGTACTGAATGTCGATTCTAGAGCTAATACATGCCTTGAGTACCGGAACCGCAAGGGAATGGGCGCACTTATTAGATACTCTGGAGAAAGTGATGTTCGGTCTTCTGGAACGTGTTAGTTGCAGCGAAAATGCCCGGAAACCGCATAAACTCTAACCAGAGGCAGGACTGTATCCGCCCCACTGGTTCGAAGTTGGCATGCACCTGGCTCCGTGCTGGACTGTATGTACCCTGGCCTGGTGGTACTACTCTGGGCTCCACTAACTGATTTGGTATTACATATAAAAATATGTTCATTTACATCTCCTAGGTAAAACCTCTGGAGTGTATTAGAAAGTACTTTTGATTCAGAATATAATTTAAATGGGTAGATATTGGAATTTCTGGAGTTGAAATTCTCAAATGTATGATGTTAACATTAAAAGGCGTTGTCTAACAATTCCTTGAACTTTACCACATTGTTTTTTTATCGAATAAGATCTACTTTTAAGTTTATCCACCCCTCTGCCTACTTTGTTTCAAGACTGACATTAGTATAACGTTAAACGTCACAGTTTCCATGAAATTTATTTACGAATTTTCTTATTTCCTTGTTCACTTATTCAAATAGGCTCATGTAAAGTTTATCGATCTCAAGACAAGGGAGTTGGAAAAGGTATTTCAACTACAATAGATTCATCTTGCCCAGCTCCTTTTGTACTGAATTTAAAAGTTGATGCTCAAGTAAGAACACGTTTATTTATCGCAGTTTATCTCATTCTGTATTGTGTTGTGCATACCATTTAGAAAGTTTTGAATCAGTGATATGTGCGTTCACATAAAAGTATGCGTCAGGGTTGAATATAAATTCTCATTCTTATGAGCATTATGTCGTGAAGCGAATTCTACCAACGCTCAAAGTTTGACACTTTTAAACTTGCTTTACACCCCTCACACTTTTAATAACCAAAAAGCAGTAAAAGTACAATTAAGAATTAGATCTAAATTTATACTTGGCATATTGTCCAAAATTGCATGAATCGGTTTATTCTTTTAACAGCCTGTTGTAAATATAAAACTTCAGGTAATGCTACTAAGAAACTTGGATACTAGCCGTGGACTTGTCAACGGAGCACGAGGCATAGTAGGAAAGATAAACAGTGATACTGGTCTTCCTGAAGTTCGATTTTATCCCGCAAAAGCGAATGGATCTAATGGCATCTTACATGTTGTGCAAATTTAAAAGTGGACGATTCGTGGGATTGATGCCAAAGAAATCGCAAGTCGACGTCAATTACCACTAACTCTGGCTTGGGCAATATGCATCCGTAAAAGTCAGGGGATAACATTGGAATATGCAGAATTAGCTCTGTCAAAAGTTCGTATTTTGCAATAGTGTGACGGACTAAAATGTTTTATTTTCGTAATAAATAATTTAGTTCAAAGTAGTTGGCGTCCATGTTTGCAGAATACGTACGTTCTCAACCGATTAACTCACAATCTTTTGTTTCCAACATTGTTGTTACTCTAAAACTCTCAACGGAGTATCTTCTGTTACTAGTGATAATGAAATTGGCACTTTGCAATTAAAAAGTAATGAAGAAAAAAATGAATGATTTGATAAATCATAGTAATTATACTAGGATAGTGTATAAAATATCACTATTCACCAATCAATTTCAGACACAAGTTAGAGGAGATCGAAGTCTAGTACCATACGGGAAATGATAGAACATATCCTCAAATCATTACGTCAAGCTGGGATAGGATTCAATGCTTCGCAGTGTGAAAGCTGCTCGAGCACGTACGTCTCTCCGACGAAACATTAAGTCGTCTACAAACGATTTAGTATCCTCACGCTCATGCCACAATTAGGTATCGTGTCGACCCCCTACCCCCAAATCCTGAGCACGGTTTATGGTTGTCGCTCTGCCATAACACCAGACCTAATTGGCCTAGCCGTACACCTGGTCCAGTCCAGACACCAAAAAGGCTGCCACAAGGCACTTATCCCGTTGGTTGCCTATCCATTTCTGAGCCGGTGAACATGCAGCTAGGATTTCTAGTTCCTCTACTGGAATGGATTGCCCAGGATAGAGTTGGATAGAGAATGGTAGTCAGTGGCCTGTGCTTCTCTACGTAACAGGCGTAAGTAAAAACGTAATTTGTAAAATATTTGAAAGAGAAACCTCTCGCTTACTGATGAAAGTTAAGAAATATCGAACAATTGATCTTAAAGTAGTGATTCACAGATCATTCAAGAGTCATCATAATTCTGAATATATTAAAGTCATATTCGTTATCATATTTTCCATGTTTCCACCCAATAAATATTTTTTGTGTTCAGTGATAAATAAGACGATGTTCATTACTATATACTGTAATCAACTTAGTTATCGAAATTAGATAAGATTCGTCTAACAACCTCAAATTTACTCATTTGTAAATATTTATTTCATTCACATAAAAATGATTAAAATGGATCGATTTAGGAGGATAGTTTCTTTTTAAAAAAAATTGGATAAAGGAAATTGTAAAAATATTATCGTATAATCTTGTTTTTAATTTCATTATTGGTCTCTCTAACTTTGGCATAAAATTTTATCACATTAGGATCTGGACATATCACTTCAGGGCGCCAACTGAGTAAGTATAAACCATTTAAATTACGACACCGACTAAGAGCTACATAGGCTTATCCACATTCAAATATCTAGAATAAACAAAGCGACATAAGAGTCCATAGAATTCAAACATAAGAAGGTATTCAACATACTAACATATATTTGGGGCGGAAACGATAGTTGAAATTTCTACAGGTAGAATAATAACAATCACAAAATCAATAACTACAACGGTGAAATAAGTCGATATACCACAACTGATTGTTCATAATTGACAATAACCTCACGACTAAGATAAGATTTCTAACTGGACGCTTTGATATTTAGGTCTGCACCCGGACTCGATGGAGTAAGTCCTCAGTTAATGAATATGCGTAAACCTGAACGCACGACGGTGCTCTTCAATCTGGTGCTAGTGCTTGGAATGGTCCCGGATCACTTAAATCTTGCATGTGTAGTATTTACCACGAAAATCGAAACTTTCCAGGGTTCGGGGGATTTCAGGTCGGTATCAACTACGTCAGTAGCTGTAAGATGCATGCATAGCGGCATTGCGAGACGATAGCATACCGCGATACCG